AGCCCCACACCACGGTGCCAGGACCACAGTGCCCCTTTCGGGCACGACCTGAGCTCCTGGTGGAGAAAGAGCAAAAGTGGCCACCGCCGGCCACCAGGAGGGGTTCATGCCGAGGAAGGTCACTGACAGCAGTGGGAAGGTAGTTATGACACCCCTTTCTTGGCTCCTGCTTTGGACTGAGGATTATACTGAGTGGTTTTCCTTTTCTTTTAAATCAGAGGATTATTACTTTACAATGTTGTATTAGTTTCTGCCATACGACAATGTGAATCAGCTATAAGTGGAGATATATATATATATATATATATATATATATATATATATATATGCTGCTAAGTCGCTTCAGTCGTGTCTGACTCTGTGCGACCCCATAGACGGCAGCCCACCAGGCTCTGCCGTCCCTGGGATTCTCCAGGCAACAACACTGGAGTGGGTTGCCATTTCCTTTTCCAATGCATGAAAGTGAAAAGTGAAAGTGAAGTCGCTCAATCATGTCCAACTCTTCGTGACCCCATGGACTGCAGGCTACCAGGCTCCTCTGCCCATGGGATTTTCCAGGCAAGAGTACTGCAGTGGGGTGCCATTGCCTTCTCCATATATATATATATATATATATATATACACATATATATATATATATATACATATATATATGTATATCCCTGCCCCCATGAGTGGCTTTTCAAACGGGAACATTTTACCCTCACAGCCCTGTAGGGGGAGTATTATTATCACCGTTTTATTGAGAGAGAAACTGAACCCTAAGAGTTTACAGGTCTCAAGCTGGGAGGCGGTGAAGCTCAGTGACGCCGGGGTCCAGCCTCAGCATCACACCCTGGACACCTGTCCACCTGCCGTAAGACATGGTTTAGAATCAGGGCTTAGAATCCAAGCCCATTTCTACAAATGAGTCTGCAGGCTTACACATCAGCCCCCACCAGCCGACAGTAATGGGCACAGGGACCGGGCAGACACAGTCTTGGCCCTAGAGGACTCGCGGGGGCCAGGACACCCTTGCCGCTCTGGGGCTGGGCGTCGGTGCCCGCACCCCGGTCCGTCCCGAGCTGGCAGTGGGTGCGCCAGCGATCGGCGGCTGCGGTCACTGGACGGACGCGGACAAGGTCAGGAGGCAGAAAAGGCCCTGCCCTGCCCGCCAGGGCCTGGCACTGGGGCCCGACCCCCTGCAGGCGGTCTTCCTGGGTCGCTCCTCGGGCCAGGGTCCCAGCCCTGCAGCAGGGGGGGCTTCTATCCTGTCCTGGACCTGTTCACCCCGGCGCTCAGGCCACAGCCTGAACAAATAAAAGACAAAAGGGCCCTGAGCTGCGGAGTCTCATGGCCTGAGTTTCCACTGAGTTAAGCTGCAAATATCCAGAAACTGAAATGCATGTCACAGGAACTAGTTAAGCTGCAGACCGTCTGCTCCTCAGCAGTGGCGCTCACGTCGATGGGGGCGGGCCCCAGAAGCCGGTTCTCAGCCCAGGAGGCTTCTGCTCACCCCAAGGCCTGTTAATTCTGAACATAAAAATATCTAAGGTGAGCCACTGTGTTTTTCAAACATTTGGCCAAGGAGTTTGTGTCTTTAATTGTATAACTTCCCCCAGAAGTAAAAACAAAGAAAAAAAGAATTCATGGCAAAGTCTGCATTTACCCAAATGAAGACAACATCTTTGCTCTCTGACCTTCTCGCTATGTTGATTTGGTTTCCCGATCCTCCAGCGCAGGTGGGAACAGCAGCAGCCCTGAGTTTCGGGGAAGCAGTGAGCGAGCGAGCCCCCAGCTTCACGCCAGCAGGCTGACACCACAAGTTCTGAAGCTCACTGCGGCCTCCGGCTTCACCCCTGCCTTGCACAGCACACGAGTGGACTCCTCAGTACAGACGCGGTGGACACAAACCTCTGCAGCGACCCAGGCATCACTGAGAAGGCTTTTGTCCTTCACGCTGACTGAGGCTCAGACAGAATTCTAAAATGCCCCCATTTTAAGATATTTATATCAATCACATTCAAAAATTTTTTTGTGTTTATAACTCAAACCACACTATGATTTAGTCACTACTATGTAAATTTTATGGATGAGAAATTAATGCATGGGAAAATTGGAACTTACTGAAATTTGAGTCTAATACAATTCACTCTCTTTTTTTTCCTTTTTTAAAAATACTGAGCTAAATATAACAATGTCATGGGTGCTGGTTCATGTGGAATAAATTTATGAGTAAAATTATATTTATTCAAAGGACACCTTATCAAATAAATTCTTGCCTTCTCTAGGTCAATGATGAGGTCCTTTGAAATTCTACAGTCCTTTGTAAATTCACAAGTAAAATGCAAGTGTAGCAAAGAAGGAAAACGTACATGAAATGAGCCTGGAAGGAAGAGAAAAAGGCGCAAAATGTAAGGCCATCATGACGTTTGTGTTTCTTCCAAAGGCAATGAGAAGATATTCAGTGAGAAGATTCTAAAATTTTGGCTCAAGGAGAGAAAGAAAGCAAGGAAAGAAGGCGGAAGGAGGGAAGAAAAGGAAACTAGACCAAAAGTATATATATATATCCACATGATTAAAGAGATCAGAGAACCTCCGAGACCCCGAGGCCCTGTGGGGCAGAAAGCGGGCCAGGAAGGAGCCAGGCTGGTGGTCCCTGGGGTCCCTGGCCCTGGAGGGCCAGGCTGGGAGCAGGACACCAAGGAAACTGACAGGCTCCCTGGTGTCAGTCTCTCAAAATTCTGCTCTGACAAATATTTTGACAATTTTTTGGTGATAGTTTTTCACCATTTGGCACAAAATCGGGAGTCCAAGCCCTGCCTTGGAGGAGGCCCCTCTAGATACTCGTCTGTGGAGAAAGTGTACACGATCTTCCCCAAGATGAAGGAGATAGTTAATAAAAAGTTGGCATTCATTCTAAGAAAGGGAAAAAGCTTTGAGCCAAAAGCAAATAGAAGAAAACACACGATCTGGTAGAGAACGTCTATAAGCAAAGTCTCTCGCGGACATCGTGCTGGTCAGGAGGCACTGGAAGTCCTCCTGTGAGGCTGATGAGACCAGGCTGGCCACCACCCTGTCACCACACTGTCCCTGGGAACCAGACAACTTAAAGAGGCAATACAAGGACTTAAGATATAATGACTGGATCAGAAAAACACGTTGTCTCATCTACCAAGATATGCTCTCTGTGGAAATCTGAAAAATCTAAACTACTTGGATTTAGTAAGGTTGCTGGTGATGAGGTCAACATTTTTAAATAAATTTTATTGGTATAAGTTGGAAGCAAACAGAATTTAGAACCGCATCACAAGACACCACAAGACATTAAATATCTCAAACAAATTTACAAAATATGTGCATGGCCACTAATCAGAAAACCAAAAAAAAAAATTATTTATTGAATTAAAAAAAATAGAAGTGGATTCAATGTTGTAATGATAGTGATTATTCCCAAACAAATCTGCAGAGTCAATGAATGATCAATGTGCCATCAGGATCTGTGCTTGCCTGTGTTATAAAATTGTGTTTAAAGTTCTGAAATTTATATGGATATGCAGAAGCCAAGGCTAGATGGGAGAACTCTGAGAAAGAGGCATATTTTAATGACAAACTTCCCAACATGTCTGTCTCAGCCAGCTTGGGCTGCCTTAACAAAATGCCAGGACTTGGGCGGCTTGGAAAACCAGGCTTCACTTCCCACAGCTCTGAGGCTGGATGTCCAAGAGCCAAGGGGTCTCCCCTCGAGGCACCGGCTCTTTGCTGCTCACTCCGCTTTCTCCTCCTTCAGAGGCAATGCCTGCTCTCCAGGGTCTCTTACTGGCACTGACGGACCCAGTGGTGGGGCCTCAACCTCACGCTCACCCTAATTCCTCCCCGAGTCCCGCCTCCAGACTGCCACGGGGGTTAGCACTTCAGGGCTGGACAGAGGGCAGACGCCTTCAGTTCACACAGGCCTGTCCCCCTGGGAGCATATTTCTCTTTGTTTCTTCACTGGAAGGAGAACACTCTTAATGGTAAGGGGATAAAAATCTGTCACCCCAGCTGACCAAAAGTTGTCAAAAGAACAATTTTCTTAAAGCAAAAACTTAAGAGCTCAGTTTTAATTTCCTATAGATCCTTACTTGAACCAATTGGGCTTTAAATCCATGTGACTCTGTGAAAACTGTTCATTCTCTTTTTTAATCAGCTTTGTCTCTCTCAGAACAACTCAGCTATTGGCATTAACACTTTTTAAATGCCACTTAGTATCACTCTAAAAGGATACTATTTGCAGAACTGCCCTATGACAAGTCCAGAAAAACACATCATTAATGGCTTAAGTAACAGAAAAACTGTATCAATTAAAGCATAGTGCGTTTATAAAAAGATAATAATTAAGCAAATGCCCATGTGTTGGCAGTTACTGTTATTTCTCAGCAGATTTAATGTGGTGGCAACACAACTGATTTTGGAAGTGAAAATAATTGATGCTTCAGACATACGTGGTGCTGAAAATAGGATTTCTTCCGATGCAAGGTTGAGAAGCACTGTTGACTAAAAACACCCATCTCTCTAACCAGCAGCCCTGGGGGCCCTCTTCGCGGAAAGAATGGGGGCTCCCATCACCATGGCAGAGCGGGGAGCGCTGCGCTGGGCTCCGCCCGCCAGGAGGACCAGCTCCTCCCACACCCTCCTGCCAGGACCCAAGGCCCCCGCTGGGTGGGCGTTCAAGACGCAGCCACGCGGGTGAGTGCGGGACAGGCCCCTCCTCTCCCGCACGGTCAGACAGGTGCCCAGTGGGCCTAGCTGCTGAGCGCGGCCCGGGTTGACACTCACGTGAATGAGATTCAAGCACAGCGGACACAAATCGGAATGGAAAGTGTGAGAAGCCTGGGGGTGGGGAGGGGGCAAGGGGCGAGGGGTGAGGGGCTTCACGATGGAATGAAAGGCCTGGACAGCATTCCAGAACAGCGGGGAAGGGACCGCACACAGCTCCGCTGAGCTCCAGTGGGAGAGGGCCTGGAAGGCTGGTCCTGGCCATGCTCAGACGGGCGGAAGCTTGTGACGTTCCCGAGATGTGGCCACGACTTCCCCGTGAGAGACGGATGGACGGACGCCCGTGGATGAGCAGAGAGGACACGGACCAGCCGTGGGAAGACGGTGAGGTGGAGTTTAAAGTCCAGGTGTGGAGCGACGAGGACTTGAGTCCCGCGTGTGCAGACCGTGGAGGGAAGTGCGCGGAGGACGCGGAGCTCGTCCCATGAGCGCAGGGGGCCCGGGGGTCTGGAGTCCCCTCCACCGTCAGCGGGATCGCGGGGCTGGGGGTGAGACCCAGAGACACGGAGGGACCCGAGGCAGCCGTGGGTCAGGCCCAAGCCCCCCAGAGGGGTCTGATAAGGGACGCAGCGGAGAGGGGATGTGTACGGAAAAGCCTTCAGCCGGTGTCTCAGGCCGGGGACTCGCAGCCCGTGATGAGGGGCTGGGCTGCCCAGGCGACTCTGGGACGTGGGGTGCCCTCGAGTGGCGTCTGTGGCTCCCCCAGACGCCCCCACACCAGGCTGCGGGTGCCCGACACCAAGCCTCCCAGGGGCGGCCGCCCTTCCTCACACCCTCGCCACATCCAAAGGAAGAGCCGGTTACACTGCGGCCTGTGTCTGGAAGCATGGGGAGGCACCGGTGTGCGGGCCCACTCTGGGCAGACGCTCTGCGGGTGAGCACCGTCCTCCCCTCCCGGGAGCCGGGGGGCCAGCGCCCAGACCCCACAGCCACCCTCCGCAAGCCGGCGCGGGTGCTCAGCCCACCCTCCTGCTGGAGATGCGGGCCGGCCCTGGGCGGCCACCGCTGCTCACAGACGGCTGAGCCCAGGCCGCCTGGCTCCAGTATCTGCAGCCCCCAGGGGCCCTCGGGAACTTTCGCTCTGCTCCTCACCCTCCAATTTATTTCATTCCCAACAAACTTCCAGTAAACATGAAAAAAGAAGACAAATATTGGTACAATGGAGATCATTGAGAAGCATCATTGCACTAATCGCATCGCTCCCTTTTCTGTGTGTGTGCCATCTCTGCTCATCAGACAGAAATAGTCATTTGCTTCAGGGAAGATGAGAATTGTTACAGCAGAAATGCAAAATGCAGGGAGAGGCATTATCAGATTTTGACTGACAGTGAGATAGTTGTGAATCTGCCGAGACAATATTTTTTAATAGTTGAGGTGTGAGAGGGTAAATACATCTGTGCTTGTATAAACACACACACACGGACATAAATACATATATATACATGCATGTCGTGTTCTCATTCCTCAAGCTTCTCCTAACTTAGCAAAAGGCCAGGCTTGGGAGAGCTCACGCACAGGATAGGTGGGGAACCGAGGACGTGATGTGGGGGTCCCCCCACTTAGGGGGGGCCGCTGGGACTGGGAGGAGGCGGTTCTGGGAGAGGGACGGGCAGAAGCCTAGGGCCACCACCTCTTCTGTCCTGATGCCAAGAGCGGCCTCTGCGCTGGGCCCCACCCAGCCTCACAGACCCGTGCCGGGGGGAGCTGGGACCGAGGCTCCCACGACTGGAGGTTCAGGGGTTCCCATGGAGGTGGGCAGAGGGTTTCGGTGTGCAGTGGCCTCGCTGGGGCCAGGCGCTCAGGAAGCAACCTCAGCTCGGACCCCCGGGGATGCAACCTCACCCCCGAGCGTGGATGTGCCCTCGAGCAGCTGAGCCAGCTTGAAACTCTAAAGGCCAGAGGCTGTGCGGCAGTGGCCCCGGTCCTCATCCATGTGGGAGGAGATGGACATGTAACAGCAAGTGAAGCAACCTGAGGGAGAAAGACAAGAACAGGCAGGAACACATCGATCGATTCCTCCTCTCAACCGGAGCTTGACATCTGCGTGACAACGTGGAGGTAAGAACAAACAAAAATAGACGTGAAATCTCCCTGTGCTGTGTGCTAAGCCGCTTCAGTCATGTCCAACTCTTTGGACCCCATGGACTGTAGCCCACCAGGCTCCTCTGTCCAGAGAATTCTCCAGAAAAGAATACTGGAGTGGGTGGCCATGCCCTTCTCCAAGGCACACAACTGTGTAACTGCAGAAAATAAAGTGATCATAACTGTCCCAACCTTTCTGATGCTGGTGATTTTAAAAGTCACTGTTGGAGAAAATGAGGTAGAAGGTGCTGGAATGAGGGTGATGGGTGCAGGGACTAGAGACAGAGCAGAGAATGGTGGCCTGGGGGTGGTGGGGTCAGGACACCTGTAGGGACCACTTCAGACAGTCTTCAGAACCTCTCAGCTGAGCCCAGTGCCCGGAGGTCCTGCTCTCCGGGTGAGCAGTGTCCTGTGCTGGGCTTTCCAGGCACAAACTCCCGCGCTGAGCGGTGAGTACCCAGGGCGAAGCTTCACCGGGTCAGCCAAGGAAGGCAGGGAGCCGCGGCCTGGGAGTGGGGGTGGCGGGGGTCAGTGGGGTTCTCAGTCCTCACAGCAAGATCCTCAGTCTGCTCCTGAGTCTGTTGAAGTGCTGGTCTACCTGTTAAGGTAGAGGAGTTGGAGAATTTAACACAAGAGGAAAACTGAAGTCCGGCCACGGGTATCGGGAGCCCCTTCTGCGGCTCGGAGCCCCGGGGGCCCGGGTCCACGGCAAAGTCAGGGAAGATGCCCTTCCTCCCTCTGAGGACAGCTTGTTAGACCCCCTGGCTGTGGTGTTAGGATGCGTCAGGAAACTGCTGTGTGGACCGGGAGCACAGAACGAGTTCCGTTTCCCTTCCTCTGTCTCTCTACTTCTCCTCCTCTCAGGAGGCTCTCCCTTTATGAATTCCCATCCTACAAGTGGCTTCTCCAGGGACCAGCACGTTAGGGATTTTGCCCCAGAGCAGCTTCGATCAAAGGTTTTGCTGGCAGATTTGGCTCGAGGTTCTATTGGTCAAAGAGAAGATTTCCCAGTTGTGGACACACACCCCTGGAACTGCACTTGCCTTTCTTCAGAAAGAGCACTCTACGAGCATCCAGCATCCGGTAACTAAAGTTGGCTTCCCCCAGCAACGACCCCATCTGCCATTTCCCTTCCCTCCTGGAGCAGGGGGTTGTAACTGTTACGCCCCAGTTTCCTTCCTTCAGCCACAGATGGATACGAACCCTTCCTCTGGCTCCAACCATGTCCACTAGGCTTGTAAACTGTCATGTTACCTTCCAAATATTTGGCCAGATTGTCTCTAAGGATACATTCTTACCCACTTTTGCTTCCTTAGAGTTGAAGGCAGAATAAGACATCTGGTTTGTCGCTTAGTTGCTAAGCCCTGACTCATTTATATAGACAAGAAAACAGTGTTTTAAAAATGGTCCTGTGACAGTGATAAACAGGGCCCTTTCCGAACGGCTCCCGCGAGGAGCTGCAGGAAGGGACTCTAGCCAAGCACAGAGCCTGGGGCGACTGTCCCCTCTGGTGACTGGGCCTGGAGGGACGTCCTCCAGACAGCGGGGCAGGGAGCAGGTCTGGGTGGAGGCCACACTGCCTACTGCACATCAGCACCTAACGTCTCCTAGCGATGCTCCCTGTGTTACCAGAAAGAAGAGAAGGGCCGCATTCTTGAAAGAGGTCCAGAAACAGTTACTGGGTGTTTAATGCTCTCAGGAGCCCTGTTACAAGTTCTGTATAAAGAGTCCAGGATAAGGCCAGGGGTGTGGAAGGGGTGGAGAGAGTTGTGGCTTTAAAAAGTCAAATCACCTTCTTCAGCTTTGTTTTCGTTGTTCAGCTGATAAGTCTTGTCGGACTCTTTGTGACCCCATGGATTGTAGCAAGGCAAGTTCCTCTGCCCTCCACTCTCTCCTGGAGTTGGCTTAAATTTATGTCCATTCAGTCAGTGATGCTATCCAACCATCTCATCCTCTGTTGCCCCCATCTCATTTTGCCTTCAATCTTTCCCAGCATCAGAGTCTTTTCCTACGAGCTGGCTCTTTGTATCAAGTGGCCAAAGTGTTGGAGCTTCAACTTCAGCAACAGTCTTTCCAATGAATATTCAGGACTGATTTCCTTTAGGATTGACTGGTTTGATCTCCTTGCAGTCCAAGGGACTCTCAAGAGTCTTCTCCAACGCCACAGTTCAAAACCATCAATTCTTTGGCACTCAGATTTCTTTATAGTCCAACTCACATCCATGCATGACTCCTGGAAAAACCATAGCTTTGACTAGACGGACCTTTGTCAGCAAAGTAATGTCTCTGTTTTTTAATATGATGTCTAGGTTGGTCATAGCTTTTCTTGCAAGGAACAAGCATCTTTTACTTTTATAGCTATAGTCAACATCTGCAGTGATTTTGGAGTCTCCCCAAATAAGTCTCTCACTGCTTCCATTGTTTCCCCATCTATTTGCCTTGAAGTGATGGGACTGGATGCCATGATCTTAGTTTTCTGAATGCTGAGTTTTAAGCCAACTTTTTACTCTCCTCTCTCATCCACATCAAGAGGCTGTTTATTTCCTCTTGGTTTTCTGCCATGAGTGGGATCATCTGCTTATCTGAGGTTGTTGATATTTCTGCCAGGAATCTTGATTCCAGCTTGTAATTTATCCAACTTGGTATTTTGCATGATATACTCTGCATGTAAGTTAAATAAGCAGGGTGACAATATACAGCCTTAACGTACTCCTTTCCCAGTTTTGAACCAGTCTGTTGCTCCATGTGTGGTTCTAACTGTTGCCTCTTGACCTGCATAAAGATTTCTCTGGAGACAGTAATGTGGTCTAGTATTCCCATCTCTTGAAGAGTTTTCCACAGTTTGTTGTAATCCACACAGTCAAAGGCTTTCACATAGTCAATGAAGCAGAAGTAGATGCTTTCCTGGAATTCTCTAGCTTTTTCTATGATCCAACGGATGTTGGCAATTTGATCTCTGGTTCCTCTGCCTTTTCTAAGTCCAGCTTGTGTATGTGGAAGTTCTTGGTTCACATACTGTTGAAGCCTAGCTTGGGGAATTTTGAGCATTACTTTGCTAGCATGTGAAATGAGTGCAATTGTGCAGTAGTTTGAGCATTCTTTGGCATTGTCCTTCTTTGGGATTGGAATGAAAACTGACCTTTTCCAGTCCTGTGGCCACTGCTGAGCTTTCCAAATTTGCTGGCATATTGAGTGCAGCACTTTCACAGCATCATCTTTTAGGATTTGAAATAGCTCAACTGGAATTCTATCACCTTTACTACCTTTGTTCGTAGTGATGCTTCCTAAGGTCCACTTGAATTCACACTCCAGCATGTCTGGCTCTAGGTGAGTGATCACACCATCATGGTTATCTGGGTCATTAAGATCTTTCTTGTGTATTCTTGTTCTGTGTATTCTTGCCACTTCTTCTTAATCTCTTTTGCTTCTGTCAGGTCCATACCATTTCTGTCCTTTGTCATGCCCATCCTTACTTGACGTGTTCCCTTGCTATCTCCAGTTTTCTTGAAGAGATCTCTAGTCTTTCTCATTGTTGTTTTACCCTGTTTCTTTGCATTGTCCATCTGAGCAGGCCTTCTTGTCTCTCCTTGCTCTTCTCTGGAACTCTGCCTTCAGTTGGGTGTATCTTTCCCTTTCTCCCTTGCCTTTCACTTCTCTTCTTTCCTCAGTTATTTGTAAAGCCTTCTCAGACAGCCACTTTGCCTTGCTGCATTTCTTTTTCTTTGGGATGGTTTTGGTCACTGTCTCCCATACAATGTTATGAATCTCTGTCCATAGTTCTTCAGGAGTTCTATCAGATCTAATCCTTTGAATCTATTCATCATATCCACTGTATAATCAAAAGAGATTTGATTTAGGTCATACCTGAATAGCCTAGTGGTTTTCCCTACTTTCTTCAACTGAAGCCCAAATTTTGCAATAAGGAGTTCATGATCTGAGCCAGGTCTTGTTTTTGCTGACTGTATAGAGCTTCTCCATCTTTGACTACAAAGAAAATAATCAATCTGATTTCGGTATTGACCATCTGGTGATGCCCATATGCAGAGT